CAATACGGTTCATTAAAACCCAACGGTTCATAAAAGCCCAATACGCTTCATTAAAGCCCAATACGGTTCATCAAATCCCAATACGGTCCATTAAAGCCCAATACGGTCCATTAAAGCAAATACAGTTCATTAAAGCCCAATACGGTTCATTAAAGCCCAATACGGTCCATTAAAGCCTAATACGGTCCATTATTTAATTATTCGCCGGAAATCCGCCGGAAAATTGTTTATATTTTTTTTAGAAAAATTATTTATTTCTCTTTTAAATAAATTTTTTAATTATCCGCCGAAAATCCGCCGGAAAATTTGTTTATTTCTTTTTTAAATAATATTTTTAATTTTCCGCCGGAAATCCGCCGGTAATATTAAAGTATTTTTAAAAAATTATTTATTTTTCCGCTGGAAATCCGCCGAAAAAATGTTTACTCTTTTTTTAATAAAAAAAATAAAAATCCGCCGGAAATCCGCCGGAAATGTTAAATTTTTTTAAAAAATTATTTATTTTTCCGCCGGAAATCTGCCGGAAAAATGTTTACTCTTTTTTAATAAAAACTTTAAAAATAATTCAAAATGCCGCCGGAAATCCGCCGGAAATTTTAAATTTTTTTAAAAAATATTTACTTTTCCGCCAGAAATTTGCCGGAAAAGATTAAAAGGGTTTTTGATTTTTCAAAAAAAAATTTCTAAAATATTTTCCGGCGGATTTCCGGCGGATTTAATTTTAAAGAATTTTTAAATTTTTTTTTAATTTTTTTTAAATAATCCGCCGGAATTTATAATTTTAAATTTTTTTTCAGTTATTAATTAATTTTTAAAGATTAATTAACAATTAATTAACAAATCCGCCGGAAAAGCAACTAGTTTAATTTTTCCGGCGGATTTCCGTCGGAAGTCAATAAAAGTCAATTTTTATGACTTCTGCCGGAAATCCGCCGGAAATGCCTAGTTTTCTAGTAGTGTAACTCAACAAAACTCCACCTTTAAATGATATTAAATTGTAGGATAATAGGATCTAGGGGATAGATTCTCATAGCATGTTGTGAAAATTTTGGTGCAAGAGTTCCCAGGCAATGGCTAAACACAGATAGTGATGTAAGAGTTCCCAAACATCCATGATAATATTGTGTATGATCTCATTATCCCATTGTATAATGCTAATATGCTACTATGTATCACTTCTTGCAATGCCAATGTATTGTGTTATACACTTATATGGGATAGGTGCACAATACCCCTTTTGTGTGTATGATTGATTAATTATAGTTCTAACTCAGTGAGTTGAGTAATATAAGGTGTATGGTGATGTCAATTTGTTCCCTTTCACTGAAAAGTTCAGATAGCACCTCTTATGGTGCATGTGTCCCAAGGTTGTATAACACCAGTGTTTGGCCGCACAAAGAAACAAATTGCAAAAATTGGGAAAAATGATATTGGTTGTAACCAAAAGCAACATCCACACATCAAAACGATTGAAACCCAAGGCAGTGGAAGAGTCTCCAAACGAGAATTAGAGCCACCAAATTGAGATAAAAGAGAAGCTGATGTTTTCTGTATCTCCATAAGATATTGCTAGGAAAATCAATTAAATATGGTGTCATTTTGACCTAGATAAACATATTGTAAATTGATTTCAGTAGCAATGTATAGAAAGCAAACAAACCAAAAAATTGATTGTAACACAAACAAACCAAATCAATTCTAAACACAAGCTTTTGGGTAAGTTCCCTAGAAGTAAGCTAATGTGAAACCCTTAAACCATGAGGTCAATGCAAGCATTCCTACCACTCAAAAAACCCTAATGGGTATGTGAAAATTTTGAACAATGGAGATGGATAATTACCTGGAGATGGAGATGGATTGAACGATGGAAGCACGATTGAACATTGGAGGAACGATGGAAGATTGAGAGGGATGACTTGTCTGGAACCTC